TAATGTGGCCGTATATAACATGCGTTTGATTAGTGGGAAATAGGTTTGGGTCGGGCGGCACAATGCGAACCCAACCCATTTGACGTATTGTGGGCGACAGACGGCCCCCACCTTTATTACCCCATCCGGTGGTCAGCGCGTACTCCGACCCCGTGTTGACCAAACCTCTGGCCGGCAGACATGCGTTAGTAATGGCCAGTCGATCGGTAAATGGTATGGAAGTGTTTACGCGGATGAGTGCGATATCAGGCGTTGTTTTAGCCAAAACATGGTTGTAGTCCGGGTGCGGGTATACCCGCGCGGCGCCGCAGTTGTGCCCACGCGTTGAGTTCCTGTCCACAACACCGATACGTATATTGAATGTGAACGGACACGTGTATATCGACGCGTTGCAACTAGGTGCAAAATTAGGTAGATTAAAATGTATATGCAGTTAATATAGCAAACGACTCTCGTTTTAATGTACAGTCGACTCACCTTAAGCAATGAGCGGCGGTAATTATCCACCATTCATTCATAACTGTCCCGGTACAAGCGCCAGCGCTTAAATACCTAATATTGTTATTATAATTATTAGTATAATTAACGACTAGTTATACATAATGTATAATAAAAACAATAATATGAGTGATAAATGTGGCTGTAATTTGTACTTACTGATTACTAGGTGAATACAGTAAGATTTCTATATAAGCGGCATATGATGTCTCCCCCGCTTTGGTATCCCTACCATTGGCTATACGACTGAGTCCTGAGGTTTTGTGATAAGTGAAGCACTTGTCGTTCAAAAGCCTCGATTCCCAACCCACTCCGCAGTCACTATCCGTGACGTTAGGGTAGTTTCCGATGACAGTGTGAATGCCATCACTCACTCCTATTACTATCAATTCAATTAGATTTTCATATATTTTTCAATTATTGTTATTATTTTTTAAAAATAATTCAGTTAATACCTACCGATAGTTAAGTAAACAACAAAAATCATGGTTAAAGACATTTTTATAATAAAATTATTGATTAGTTTCACAGATATTTTGGTGAATATCATCCAAAATATATTTACTGTTATTGCTATTCAAAGATAGTTATACAATTACAATTATTGTAATATTAAACTTGGTGAAATTTAATGCACAATTCATTATCTTAAATAATTAAACATTACGATTTATTAATCAATAGTACGAGAAGTGAATATAATGTAAAATTTAACTCAAATAAAGTTTCAATAAATTCAATGCTTTTTATGAAAGGTTTTTTGAGAGAAATTTAACTTTTTTGATTGTTTTGTTTCCAAAACTTTAGGCACTTTCAAACATTTATTGGGGTTTATGTTGTCTTCCCATTCACTCGAAACGGTTAGTATAGTCAACGGCTCCCGAGCTATGATTTTTATTTTAAATATTTTACAGAATATTCTGTGCGTTTGTATTAATGATTTGCTATGTATTTGTTGTATACATTGCCTACAGATTATGGGGTTATGTGTTGTTTATAAATAATTGTATGCAATACTAACTTGTGAGGGCACATGTAGTTTCTAATGAAAGTTTTAAAATTCAACATGGTTATTTTTAGTTATTTAATTTGCTAAATTATTGATACAAATTATTAAATATACTGTTTATTACAATTTGAATTAATATAACAAATGTTTTTCAAAGCAATAAATATTAAATATATGAAAATATTGTGTATTTAATGTGAGTTAAGAGATGTTGGATGCGGTGCTCGGAGTACTCGGAGGGCTCGCAGCTCTGGTAACTGTGCCTATAAAATAGCAATTAGTTTAAAACTTTTATCGCAGTTAAAACATACAAATAATACACTATTAAAATCAATTCAAACCTTTGTTTGCGTTATAAAAGTATCCAATGATTGCAAACAATGAGACGATAAATAGGATTAAAATGATTGCAATTAAAACCAATAGAGGAGTCATTAGTGAAGAGGAATCGGAAGAACTGTGTCTCGGCTTTGCTTTTGTTGTCGTTTCTAAAGATATTGTGGTTTCAATGATAGCATTGACTATCGGTGTTGTGGTCACAGGTTTCGCAAATTTTGAACACAGAAAATAGTCTTTCAAATTCACATTCTGTGATCAAAACAGCAAAAAACATACAATAGTTAAACAAAAGTTTTTAAAATTCTCTCTCTCTCTCTCTCTCTCTCTCTCTCTCTCTCTCACGGTATCACTCATTTGCCGATCGCCTGCGCTGTCAATCGTGAGGACATAGATGTATATCTTGTAGTCGCCATCGAGTGGTCGGTCGCCGATAGCATAGACTGACCCTTTGTCGTAAAACATACTAATGAAGTGCACTTCCAATAGACTAATGGACTGTCTGTTCATATTGTGATACCAATCAATGGATCCAATGTTTGCCCACAACAGGGAAGTCGTGCCGTCAATACTAATATCGCTATTAATAATATACAGCACTTCGTGTCTGAGCGGCCAAAAGACACTCGGATTGGTCTTTGAGTTCAGCCATTCCGGGGGCCAAATGTGGTCAACGGTAGCGGCCGTCAAATTCCAGGGATAGTCGTGGGGGTCAACCGTTGCCGGCATTAGTCCACTGGTCTCTCGAAGAACTTGAGTTGACTTAACGCCAGAGGAAATTGAATCATATCTTACAAAAATCAGATCCAATGATTTGTTCATTGAATTACAATAAATGGCGCTTTGGTTACAGACGGGAAGCGACGGTATGTATAAAGTGGTCATAACTGTCAGGTCTGCAAATGAAATCAATTTGTGGTTAATTTGTATTAATTTATTGATAACGTCTTCTCGACCTCCAGTTTCTGTCTTCTCCTTCAGCGGGGGATCAGTGAAGGCATGAGTGGACTCATTGTATATCCAAATCAATCGCTCCGACGAAATCATATCCATTGATCTGACTCTCAATTTGTGGCCGAAGTTATAAATTCTGTTAAATGAAGACATTTCACAGAATGACAGGTATTTGTTGTCCTCGTCTTCCTCTTCAGTGATGTTATGACATCTGATCACAAGAAATGTCATCAAAAATATTATTACAATTATTTGCATAAATTTCATGTTTACAACGATTTCATTAATCAATAATCAATAAATAAACGACTATTTATTATAATTGGAAACGTTTTAAAATAAATGATTAAATTTATTATTATTTAAATCTACAAATAAATTATCAACGAATTTGAATATTAACCGTTAGTATTGATAGTTTTATGCAAACATTTCATATATTCATGAATCGTGTGAACGAAACAATAGTTTTATAAATTGTAAATAATTTTGAATTCATTTCCAATAATTATATTTCACGTTATATTATATTTGAAAATCTCATTTATAACTGATTTCTCAAATCTAACCATCGATTGAATTTTGGTCTCAAGTGTTTAGTTATACAAAATGTTATCAATTCTAGTATTGATTACAAGTCTATCATTTATCGGATGTTTGGACTTTTGCTCACAAATCAAAACCAATGGTTTCCGTGTATTTCATTCAAAGCTCCAAAACAGATCTGTTATGTATTCAAAGGGTTTTGAATGGAATTTTCATATTATTTCACAAACCGATGGCATTATTATAGATAACACTTCAGTGAAAGCCATCGATGAGTCGATTGTCAATAGGTTTGCAGGAATTGATTACGACTGCGAAGTCAGATATGAAGTAATAGTGTATTTAAATTGCATTTAAAAACATATTTAGTGTAATTATTATTGTTATTTAAAGTCTGAAACCAATGGTCCGATTGTCACCAACTGTTCCGGTGGTATGGGAGTGGACACAACGTCTCAATACGACCCGAAAGCTCTGATAATAGAGGGAATGAAAAATAATTGGTTCTTATTGTTGAGTCAATCAGAGCCACGAATCAGATGTTATGATGCGGTGAAGAAGATACTCATCGATGACCAGAAGTGTAACACCGAGAGTGGACTCAAGTATATCCTCGGTTTGATCCCTCGCAAGACGTTTGACTCAATCCGTGGACTAATTTCCAAACATACCATTAATTTCAATGTTTTTGCCATTTTTTATGACATCGACGGACAGCCCATGTATTGTCTGAAGCCAATCGCTGACGACAATTATCAATATAAATATGTATTTGTTATCTAAATAATTATAAAACTGTTGTTTTACTCTTTCTTTCCATTTATAGTGCAATTCAACGACAGATTATAAACCAGTTTTCAATGAATGTTTGCCAACAAGTGGTCCACCGAGTGATACAACGCCTATCATTATATGGATTATTGTTGTATTCATTGCACTCATTATACTATTGGCTCTATTCGTGTTTATTTACAGCAAAATGAGTTCACAGAATAGGGAATTAAGTAATGTTTAAACATATTATGTTTAAATGACGATTAAATTGTATTCAATGAACAAATTATGTATTTATAGGAAAAGACACGACATCTTTAAAAACTATATCAACTGAGAAATTGAGCAAAAAATCGGATACAACTTTAAAATCAACTAAAGTTTTGTCGAGAAGTGTCGACATTTAAATCGCTTTTAAAGCATTCAAGTGTTGGATATTTAAGTTTATATTTCAATAGGTTTTTCAATTTAATATTCATTTGTAAAATTTGTAAAATATTTATTTTTATAGTTTGTTCTGTAATCAAAACATTGCGTTACAAATAAAAATATTCTTAATGATATTTATTGCATAATAAATGAGAAAAAATGATTTATAATTGTATACCAAAAACATATTTGAATGTAAAGAACGAGATATTAAGAAATGTTTTCCAAATTAGCAAAATCTTTCTAATAATAATTCATTTAAATAATTTTCACGTTATATTGTATTCAAAAATCTCATTCATAACTGATTTCTCAAAACTAACCATCGATTGAATTCTAGTTTCAAGTGTTTAGTTATACAAAATGTTATCAATTCTTGTATTGATTACAAGTCTGTCATCCGTCGGATGTTTTGAGTTTTGTTCACAAATCAAAACCAATGGATTTCGAGTTTATTATTCAGACCTACAAAAAAGATCTGTTATGTATTCAAAGGGTTTTGAATGGGATTTTCACATCAATTCACAAACCTATGGCATTATTATAGATAGGAATTCAGTGAAAGCCATCAATGAGTCGATTGTCAATAGATTTGGAAGAAGTAATTACGACTGCGAAGTCAGATATGAAGTAAGATTAATATGAATTGCATTTAAAAACATATTTAGTGTAATTAATACAAGTATTTAAAGCCTGAATCTAATGGTCCGATTGTCACCGACTGTTCCCCTGGAAGAGGAGTGGACAACACGAGTCAATACAACCCGAAAGCTCTGATAATAGAGGGAATCAAAGATAATTGGTTCTTAGTGTTAAGTCAATCAGAGCCTCGGATCAGATGTTATGATGCAGTGAATAAGACACTCATCGATGGCCAGATGTGTTACAACGAGAGTGGACTCAACTATATCCTCGGTTTCATCCCTCGCAAGGCGTTTGACTCAATCCGTGGAATCATTTCCAAAAAGACCACTGATTTCAATGTTTTTGTCATTTTCTATGACATCGACGGACAGCCCATGTATTGTCTGAAACCAAGAGCTGACGACAATTATCAATACAAATATGTATTTGTTATCTAAATAATTATAAAACTGTTATTTTACTCTTTCTTCCCATTCATAGTGTAATTCAACGAAAGATTATAAACCAGTTTTCAGTAAATGTTTGCCAACAAGTGGTCCACCGAGTGATACAACGCCTATCATTATATGGATTATTGTTGTATTCATTGCACTCATTATACTATTGGCTCTATTAGTGTGTATTTACTGGAAATTTTGTTCACAAAATAAAGCCTTAACTACTAAAGCATTGAGTAATTATAGAAATCTATGTTAAATCACAACTGAATTATAACTAATAAACCAATTATGTATTCATAGCCCGCGCGGAGTCGTCTATAGTAACCGTTTCGAGTGAATGGAGTCAAAGGACTCCAAACACAACTTCCGATAAATCTATGATAAGATCGAAAGCTATGTCTAAAAAATTATCAAAGAAATCAAATATCACTCAAATATCTTCTCATTAAATGCATTGAATTTATTGAACATTTATTTATATTTGACATTATATTCACTTCTTTTACAATTTATTAATAAATTATAATTTGTCTTATTTTCTATTAATTTGATATAAATTTTTGATATATGAATTATCAAAAACAAAACAGTGTTTTATAAATTGTTATTAATTTAATTCATTTCCAATAATTATATTTCAAGTTATATTGTATTAAAAATTTAATTCATAACCCATTTCTCAAATCTAGTAATTTTAAATCTCATTTCAACAAATATATTAGTGATTATAATCCTTATTTTATCGGTTCTATTGGTGTATATTTATTACACATTTAATCCACAGAATATGAAATTAAGTAATATTTAAACTTAGTTTTAAATTACAACTAAATTGTCTTCTCATACATTGTATTGAATTCATTGGAAATTTAATTATAATTCATATTATATTTATTTCTATTACATATAATTTTTAAATAACTTTCATAATCATAGAAACAATGTTACTGTTATTTTTAATTTTGTTAACAATTAATCACATGAATTGTGTGAACGAAACAATAAATTGTCATTAATTTTGAATTTATTTCCAATAATTATAGTTAACGTTATATTTGATTTAAAGATCTCATTCATAACTCATTTCCCAATTTTAACCATCGATTCAATTATCAGTTAAAGATATTTGTCATAAAATGCTATCAATTGTAGTCTTGATTACAAGTCTGTCATCCGTCGGATGTTTTGACTTTTGCAAACAAATTGATTTAAATAGCGTTCAAACCTACAGAACAGGTCTTGAAATGAAACCTATTTTGTATTCAAATGGGTTTGAATGGGATATCAAAATCAATTCACAAACTGTAGAAATGGACGCAAATTCAGTGAAAGCTATCGATAAGTCTATTGTCAACCGAATTGGAGGAA